CCCTGCTGGGCTCCGGCGATCCTTCCGCCTCAGCCTTCCAAGTAGCCGGAATTACAGGCATGCGCTACCATGCCTGGCTGATTTTTTGATTTATTGTAGAGATGAGGTCTCGCTTCCCAGGCGGGTCTCGAACCCACGGGCTCAGGCAATCCACTCACCTCAGCCTCCCAAAGGTGCGGGATTACAGGCTGAGCCACCGAGCCTGGCTTTTTTTTTTTTTTTTTTTTTTTTTTAGTTTGAGTCTCACTATGTCACCTGCGCTGGAATGCAGTGGCACACTCAGGGCCACCCCAGTGTTAACCTACTGGATTCCAGTGATCCTTCCACCTCAGCCTTCCAAGTAGCCGGAACTACAGGCGTGCACTACCACACTCAGCTTTTTTTCTTTCTTTCTTTCTTTCTTTTTTTGATTAATTGTAGAGATGAGGTCTCACAAAGTTGCCCAAGTTGATCTTGAACCTGTGGGCTCAGGCAATCCTTTCACCTTAGCTTCCCAAAGTGCTGGGATTATAGGCTTGAGACACTATGCCTGGTCAGAATTGCTTTTTAATAGCTTCAAGTGTTGCAACATGAAGTTACTAGTATGAGAAAGCTAGAGTTTAGGGGTTTTGTTTTGATTTTGTTTTGGGTTTGTTTTTTTTTTTTGTAGTATGGTAAAAATTAATTGCATGCAAGGGGCTAATCTCAGTAAATAGTCTACCAGCTCAAGGTAGAATCTCGAACTTTCTTATTACCATGTATTCTCTTTTGTGCCCTGAAAGTGTGTAGCAGGAATTTTACATGTTTTGGATCAGGCCCATGGATGGGCACCAAAGTACATTCAAAAGGAAGACCACAAATAGAAAAAATCATACACCTTCCCTTGCACACCATTACAAGCAGACTTGCTTAAATAATCAATTGGAACCTGAGTGTCTCAGTCTGAAAAATCATGTCTTCTTTTAGAAAACATGTAATCACCATAAGAAGCTAGGAAATACCAAATAAGTTCCAAAACGAATATTTACTAGTAGATGTAATTTTATTTTTCAGACTGCCCATGAAGTAGAATGCTCATTTAAGTCCTGTAGGCAGGACTACTTTCCATGAAGTAGAATGCTCATTTAAGTCCTGTAGGCAGGACTACAACATGGACATGTGACCTGTGCTGTCACACAGGACTAATGCTTGTTTAATGTTCTGCTGTCACCATCTCAAAATTCTTAATAAACTTTTTAACCAGGGTCCTCAAATTCTCATTCTGCCCTGGGCCATACAAATTTTGTAGCCAGTTCTGTCTGTAGATATTTCTATTGTTAAGACATCTTAGCACTTTGGGAGGCCAAGGTGAAAGGACTAATCGGAGGCTTTATAAACTCTAAAATCCCGTGTGAATCTTTTAGGAATGAACAAAGTTGCCATTAGTATAATATTCATGCTTTTAAAATATATTTATTGATCCCCTGGCACTATGCTAGACTTGTGGAAAATGAAAACAATTCAGTCCCTGCCTTCAAAGGTTTTCATTTCTAGAGTTGAGTATTTGTTATATATTTTCAGTCTCTTGAAAAATTGATAATAGTTGCATAAAACCTGTTGTTATAGCTGAAAAGAAGATTCCTCCATATATGTTAGAGGCAAACACATGGCACAGAGGAGCTAAATGTTAAGTGTAGAGTAAATAGCATTTGCAGCTTATCAGTTTTTCCTCTTTAAATATATATAAACATAGCAATGCTGAATGCTTAAATACTCAGTTTTCCTTTATTATGTTAGTTGAGGAGCATTGGCTTGTGTGGTTGATTTTTAAAACCTACGTTAGGAAAGATAAAATTTCATTAAAAGACAGTTTTTAAAATACCAGTCTATTTGGGAATTAATGCCAACTCTTCATTTTTGTGTAAGGCAAGAATTAGAAAGTATTCTCTTAGCTTGTGTAACTTGATGGTGGGTAGGTTGCTATCTGGAGCAACTTCCTCAGTGGAGCATGATACCCAGGCAATCTGATGCAAGTGAAGATAGCAAGGATTTCACAATGCCCTGTGAGCCCACTGACAATCAACCCATTTGCATTTTGTCATGTCTATCCCACTGTGCATACCTACTCACTATGGGCTTGAATTTTCCATATCAATGTCATTCCCAATACCCGAACAGAGTACTAAAAATGATATGTTATGTTGCCTAATGGAAATTCATTCAGGGCATAAACTTGAATTTACTGTATGAATGTCATAAGAAATGTTAATAAACTATTGTGTTGTCACTGGTTAAAGCATTTCTCTAGACAAACTTTAAGAAATGGGTTCTGCAAAAACGAATGATTTGTAAATAAACACTGGACTAAGCATGAAGAAAACATTTCTAATGATAGAAAATCATTCCTTAATAAGTTTCATTTTAAGTGTTAACCAACATATTGAAGAAGCAACACTGTGTGAAGGCTTAAATCGAGACATGGGTTTATATCTTCTATTTGTAGTGATCATCTTGTCTTAAAACTCAAAATTAAGGAAATACAAAATTAGTTTGCTCATGCATTTTCTATGTACATCATTAAATCATTACATTTTCCCTCAGCACTTAACAGAGCTACTTTTGACTAGAAAACACATGTGACTTTTTCAGCTTTCATTAGTCTTTTCAGTAATCCCCAATAATAAAAAATAAAATAAAATCTAATTGAACTTTGAACTTCATGAATAATAATTAAAAACAAAAGTCAACCTTCTATAGAATTTGTCTTATATCTTTATTGATTATCAGCACTGTCCGTTATCACATATAACAATAAGTGCTTTAGAAGAAAAAAAAAGTTGAATAAGACCTTCAAGACATCAGTTTCATGCTGATGGATTTGTCAATAGTTCAGTTTCTCATGCCTTTGCCTTTCTGAGCTATGTTTATTTAAGCAGTCTTGAGTGTTCTTGCATATTGACTAAAGGAGCTGAAATTGATGGAAACAAGGTTATTCTTAGTAATCTGACAGTTTGGGTCCTTAATGTTCAACAATGGAAAAACTAGAAATGATGCCCTGCCAAAAGAAAGCAAATTAAGGAAATAAAGTGAGAAAGAAAGCTAGTTAAAGGAAACATCATTTACATTACAGTGTCAGGAATTTACAATTGGGGAGCAACTTTAAAAGTTAGTTTTGTCTGTGATGCAAATGAAGTCAAATTTTACTGCAGAGCAGGTTGTCAGAGATCAGACATTAATATATTTAACAGCTATTCCATGACCTAGATGAAAAGTCCCAGGCCAGATTTCTCTGTGGGCCAATGTGAGCCGATGTCACTACACCAATGGCTGTCTCCCAAAACAAGACAACAGTTGAATAAGTAATGAAACAAGTTTCAAGGTAATATCTGAGCAACCAGTCTTTAAGTATTTGTTACTGAATATATATACTTTTTAAAGGCCTCTAATTTTAACCTCGGAGTTTTAACCTTACATGTCAGACTAGGGTACTTAATCAATTTGAAGAATTAACAATTGTCTTGTTATCCTCTGTCCCTCATAGGAAGATGATTAGCAGGCTTAACTTATTTATGGTATATTGGTAAGATTATTTTTATCTTAACTTTTGTAAAATATGATAGTAGCTTTTATTAAAAAGCACTTTTATGATTTTTAATTTTTATTTATAATCATGCAGAATCCAAGTTAAAAATGTACCTTAAAATATACAAATATCTCAAGTGGTTTTTAAGTTTTCTTTATTTGGTGGTATCAGAACATCAGGGTGGGAGAAATATGTTTGACAATTTTCAGTTCTGTAGAAATGAAACTATTGTTCTTCATGATAACATTCAGTGATATCATGATAACATTCAGTGATATCATGATAACACTCAGTATGCTAATGAGAATAGGTTTTATTAGTTATACAATTCTATATGGCATTTGAGGTGTAGTTTCAAAATAAGACCAAACAGCATTTCTAGACTCTAAGACTATTATGGCTCTACTCTTGACTGACTTGATATTATCATCTGTATTTCCAGTGCTTAGCATAATTCTGAGCTCAATAAATATTTTTGGCTGAATAAATGAATATTTCATACAGAGGCATCTTTTGAAAATAACAATAGATTTGAATCTGAACCAAAGAGTCTTAATTTATGTTTCTAGTATTCCTACTCAGCTCCTTGCAAAGGATATAAGATTTATCTATGAGCCTTAGGCTTTTCAAATAAATTTTTCTAATGCAGTTGCTTTTTCTTTTGTCTGCTCCCAAGGGTAACACTGTGTAATGGGAAGTACAGTAATATATTGGGAGGATCACAGTCTTTGATGGAGACACACTTGAGTTCTGGTTTCAGTTCTGCTATTTACAACCTCAGGGCAACTAATTTATCCTCCCTGATGTTGGGTTTTACTGTGAGTAAATATGAGAATAATAACCCAGGTCCTTGATTGAACAACCAGTCCATAGATCTAACATACAGTCTGGAACATAGCAGGCATTCAGATCACTTAATGAGTTCATTTAGAAGTCTTTATAGTAAAAGGCAACTTGTTACAATGTTTTGACTATTTTTCAATTTCTTCTTTGTTTCACAGACGACGACTTTTTTCACGAACTCCCAGAAACATTTCCATCTGACCCACCAGAGCCTCTGCCACATTTCCTTATTGAGCCTGAAGAAGCTTATATTGTGAAGAATAAGCCTGTGAACCTATACTGTAAAGCCAGCCCTGCCACCCAGATCTATTTCAAGTGCAATAGCGAATGGGTTCATCAGAAGGACCACATAGTGGATGAGCGAGTAGACGAAACTTCCGGTGAGTTTTCCATTGCATTTGGATTGTAGTTCAAGATTCACTTACTCACTACTTTAACCTATTGTCATACTATTATTTCAATTAATGAAATTGAAAATGGAGTGCTTATTCTTTGGCAAAAAGCTTTGAATCTGTTTGGTTAAAATTTGGTGACATTGTTCCTTGCATTGCAAAGTAAAATGTGATGAATCAATCTTGACTTGATTCCTGTTGGACTACATGAAATTTAAACAGGTTCATGCTTAAGTAAATAAATAATATGAATGAATAGACTGAAGTAATGCCAAATGCCCTATTAAAGTATTTCCTTAAATTGCACTCATGAGGTAGTCATATCTAAGTATCCTGAGATCTGGGGAGAATGTTCAATAAGGATAAGTTGCACTTTTTTTTACATCACTGTCTAAAGTTCACTCACATGCATATTTTCCCTTTGTATTTTTTAAAAGAGCATTAAAATGGTATAGATTCAAAGTATCCTGCATCCCTAACTTATATCCAAAAATGAATCGCTAAAATTCCCAAGTCTTATCTAAAGTTGAATTGAGGGTGATTGAGAACAGTGATAGTGTAGCATCCAGGAACAGGAGAAATGATAAGTATATCCACTTTCTGGGTAGATCTTGATCAATGTATCTTTGCTCTAAGCATAGTTAAAACTCCTGACTTTGTTGCTCTAGAAATATCACCCTTAAAGATAAACTACTAAAGATAGACGGGATGAAGTAGGTTTCAATAATCTGTGGGATTTAGCTAAGCCATAAAGGAAACTTTCTTGATAACAATTTTTTACTCTACATTGAGATGCTTATAATAGATGTGGAATCTTCTAGAGATCTTTTAAATTGGAAAGGTAAACCAGCCTGGGCAACATAGTGAAACCCATCTCTCTACAAAAATAAAAATAAAAATAATTTTTTTAAAAAATTAGCCAAGGATGGTGGCATGCACCTGTACTCCTGGCTATTCGGGATGCTGAAATGGAAGGATCGCTTGAGGCCAGGAGGTCAAGCTGCCATGAGCTGTGATCATCATGATTGTGCCACTGCACTCCAGCCTGGGTGACAGAGTGAAACCCTGACTCAAAATAAATAAATAAGTAAATACATAAACAAATAAATAGGAAAGATATATATATTTCCATGGTAGTTTCAGTGTTTTTGTCCTCCAGCAGGGAAAGTAACTTTTTGAACTTTCAGATCCCTTCTAGATGTGTGATTTTATAGCATTAAGACATATATTTTAAGTATTAAGTCTTCAGTGTTCAACATTTTCAAGCTAAAGAGTGGCAATTATGAAACAAAAATTGAAGTATTTAAATATCTTTGTTATCCTTTATTGATATCTTTCTGTACCAAAATGGATACATGCTTTCAAAATTCAATTTGTGGATAATTTATAATTGTGCCTAAGTATTGGATTAACCTGGGGTGCGTAGAGACCAACACTTGAGAGGGATCCACTTTCAATGTTCCTAACTATGAATAGTACATCAAGGTGATGGAACATAATAAAACAATAGAAAGTGAGTGGAATGAGAGGAGGCAACTTTGCAAAAATCATGTGGGGCATATACTTTATAACACAAATGGTCTTAGAAAATTAGGTGGTAACTCTACGTAATTCTCAATTTGTGATTCAATATGCTCACTGACTGCAAGCTGATGACTGCAGAAATAACAGGGCATCCAATTGTAGGGTAGCTTGCTTCAGGAAGTTGCTGCACCTTTGGGTCTAATTACTCAGCAAATAAGTCTTCCAGATGTCTTCAAAATCTCAGGTGAATAGGGTTTTATTTGTACTTGTTTCAGCTCATTTATTTGTAAAAATTTCAAATATATACCCTTTTAATGATAAGAAGAAAAATAGATCAGGTATGGTGATTATGCCTGTCATCCCAGGGTTTGGAGGGGCTAGCTAAAAGGTTCACTTAAGACCAGGATTTTAAGACCAGCCTGGGCAACATAGCAAAACCAATCTCTAAAAAAATTTTAAAAATAGCCAAGTATGGTGGTGTGCTCCTATAGTCCTAGCGACTCAGGAGGCTGATATAGGTGACTTGCGTAAACCCAAGAATTGGAGGTTACAGTGAGCTATGATTGCATCACCACATGCTCTCCTAAGTGACAGAGTGAGGCCCTGTCTCTAAATTTAAAAAGAAAAAAAAATCACAAAAGCTAAAATGAATCACAACATATTTAGGCTTGTCTTTACTAAATAATGCAAATACCTACATAGAAAGATAGTAAATAAAGACAAAACTGCTCTAATATTAAGCACTTCTGCTAACTTCATACAGTGTTTGTCTCTCTCTCTCTCTCTCTCTCACACACACACACACACACACACACACACACACACACACAGAGGGAGACAGAGATTTTCTTCTTGTAAAACATTTTCTATATTTCTACACAAAATTAATTAATATTGCATATACCAATGATTAAAACTACCTTTTTAAAGTAACTATAAAATGTATGGCATGTTTTTATTCAAATTCAGGATTGATAGATGAGAACTAAAGGAAGATTTGGGAGGTCCAATACTTGCACAGTTCTCATAAGATTCAGGGATGGTGTGACGATACGAATAACTTTTTGTTGGCTTTCATTTTCATCCAAAACTGTACAAGAAAACCAGTTTTGGATGAAAATGAAAGCCAACAAAAAGTTATTCGTATCTTGTACAACATTTTCAAATGTTGACATACTAGACTTATGTAAGCAGTAGCTTTTTTTTTTTATTTAATCAATATTTTTTATTTTGATATTGTGGGGTACAGTTAAGGGTTAGGTATACAAATATGCTTCATTCAGGCCCCCTTGTTGATAACTGGTGTCTTCCTGTCTCTAGACAAATGTTTACTACCATTAGTCCCATCCCCCCCATAGTTTCCCAACACTGTCAGTCATTTTCTTATAGTAGTGCATTGGATGATCAAGGTCCACTATATGAGTGAGAATATGTGGTACTCAGATCTTTGTTTCTGTGAGAGGTCACTTAGTATTATAGACTCTAGCTCCATCCAGGCTGCTACAAAATTCATGATTTTGTTCTTTTTTATGGCTACATAGTATTCCATCGTGTATATGTACCACTTTTTTTTTATCCAGTTCTCTTTTGATGGACAGCGTGGTTGGTTCCAAGTTCTAGCTACTGTGAACAATGCTGCAATGAACATTCGCGTGCAGGTATCTTTTTTATAGAGTGATTTGTGTTCTTCAGGGTATATTCCCAGTAGAGGGATTGCAGGGTCAAATGGGAGGATGATGTTTAGGGCTTTTAGGAATCGCCACATTGCTTTCCACAGAGGTTGCACTAGTTTACACTCCCACCAACAGTGTAGAAGTGTTCCCTTTTCGCCACACCCTCTCCAGCAGCTGTTATTTTTTGAGTTGCTGATAATTGCCATTCTGACTAGAGTTAGGTGGTATCTCAGTGTGGTTTTGATTTGCATCTCCCTGATGATTAATGAGGTTGAGCATTTCTTCATGTGTCTGTTGGCTGCTCGGATGTCTTCCTTTGTGAAGTGTCTGTTCATATCTTTTGTCCACTTTATAATGGGGTTCTTTGTTGTTTTCTTTTCAGCACATTTGAGTTCCTTGTAGATACAGGATGTTAAGCCTTTGTCAGACCTGGAGTTGGCAAATACTTTTTCCCAGTCTGTAGGCCGTCTTCCTGCTCTCTTGATGGTTTCTTTGGCTTTGCAGAAACTTGTCAGTTTAATGAGGTCCCACTTGTCTATCTTATCCCTTATGGCCTGTGAGTTTCAAGTTTTGTTCAGGAACTGGATGCCAGTTCCAATTTCCATGAGGATATGTCCTTCATTTTCTAAGGTTCTTATGGTTTGAGGTTTTATATTTAGGTCCCTGATCCATTTGGAGTTAATTTTTGTGTATGGGGATAGATAGGGGTCCTGTTTCAATCTTCTGCATGTGGCCAGCCAGTTTTCCCAGCACCATTTACTGAATAGGTTCTCCTCTCCCCAGTGGTAGGTGGTGGAGGTTTTGTCGAAGACGAGTTGGTTGAGAAATTGAGGTCTTGCCTCTGGAATCTCAATTCTATTCCATTGGTCTATATGCCTGTTCCTATACCAATACCAAGCTGTTTTGATGATAGTAGCTTTATAGTAAAGTTTGAAGTCTGGTAATGTGATACCACCTGCTTTGTATTTTTTATTGAGGATTGTTTTGGCTATTCTTGGTTGTTTGTGTTTCCATATGAATTCCTGTGTTGTTTTTTCTAGGTCTGAGAAGAATGTTGCTGGTAATTTGATAGGTATTGCATTGAATCTGTAGATTGCCTTAGGTAAGATGGACATCTTCACAGTGTTGATTCTTCCAATCCATGAGCATGGGATATTTTTCCACTTATATGTGTCATCTTTGATTTCTTTGAGCAGAGTTTTGTAGTTTTCATTGTAAAGGTCTTTCACTTCTCTGGTTAGGAAGATGCCAAGGTATTTCATTTTTTTGTGGCTATGGTGAATGGAATTGTGCTTCTTATTTGGGTTTCTGTTTGTTTATTATGGGTGTAAAGAAATGCAATTGTCTTTTGCACATTTATTTTATATCCTGAGACTTTGCCGAAGGCCTTTATCAGTGAAGGAGGTTTTTGACAGATTCTCTTGAGTTTTCCAGGTATACAACCATGTCATCTGCAAAGAGAGATAATTTGACTTCCTCTTTTTCTATTTGGATACCCCTGATTGTCTTGTCTTCTCTGATCACTCTAGCCAGGACTTCCAATACTATATTGAACAGGAGAGGTGAGAGTAGGCATCCTTGTCTTGTTCCAGTTTTTGGGGGAAATGGTTCCAGTTTTTGTCTGTTTTGGAGTATGCTGGCTGTGGGTTTCTCATAGATGGCTTTTACTACTTTGAGGTATGTTCCCTGTATGCCTAGATGTTCAAGGGTTTTTATCAAGAAGCGGTGCTGGATTTTATCAAAAGCTTTTTCTGCATCTAATGATATAATCATGTGGTTTTTGTTTTGACA